ATAAAATAAATATTATACATATTATGTATGTGTTACATTGTTACTGCCAAAGTAATTAATCCGATAACAAAAATATTAAAATGAATTATAACATCATTTAGATGTCATGGCCTGACTGTAGTAAAAACTCTTTCAGTTGATGTTTGATTATTCTTATCGACCCAATTATATATAACTAATTAAAACATTTCTTAATGATTTCTGTTAGAAGTTTTTGGTAGTAATTAATAAAATAACAACAATAATGTCTTCTTTAATAGTTTCAAAGTTTAGTTCATCATCATAATGCCTTCAGTCCGAACGGGCATCCACTTTTTCCTATTTTGATCCAAAAATCTTTACATTTCCCGAAAACCACTCTCTGAGAAAGAGTCATGCAATCTGTTTAGACCATACCTTGTTGACTTCCATAATTTTCGAACTTCCAAATTAACCGATCGCGAACACAAAAACCACCCAATATGTGCTATTCGTTAATTTTTATCTCTATTGATTTATCTGGCTCCCCAGGTATCGAAAATCAGCAACTTATTCTGGTTTTTCGTCTCCTGTTTTTATACTACCTCTAGCCTTACTTTAACATTCCTTACATACCAATAATTTTGTTTTATTCATTTTGATATCATAACCTTGTGTCAATACCATTTTATATCCCTACATCATCCGCAAATCTAAACATCGTAATCTTTTAACCCTGGCTGTGTATTAATATCCTTAAAGCTACCCCGTATTTAATAAGTAGCGGTGAAGATGTACTCTCCTCCCTTCCTAACATTTACTTCTCTACGGTGCCTCATCCCAATTTTAGTACTTTTACAATTATTTATCATTGAGTCTACTTCAATGTTGTCTAATAGTTTAACCTTTTGCACACAAAATGACTGGCAAAATACCAGAAACATCGAGATGTAAAAATCTAAGGAAGGAGCGCAAATAAATAATAATAATATTATCTATATTTTGTATTGCTATTTCATTAGATAAATGTTTTAGATAAACCAATTAACGGCGAAGAATTCGACTTTATCATAGTTGGTGCAGGATCAGCGGGATCTGCGATTGCAAATAGACTTTCTGAAATAGCACAATGGAAAATTTTATTGTTAGAAGCGGGTTATCCACCTGTGGAAGTTCACGATATGCCCATCCTTGCTCCGGTTTTCCAGTTTACACCATACAACTGGAAGAATCTCATGGAGAAACAAGACTACATGAGTTTAGGTAACATATTGGTACATTTCATTGAGAAAATAATGCTAAATAAGCTTACTTGACCTTTTTAGGCCTCGAAGATCAAAGGATGAGTTGGCCTAGAGGAAAAGGTATTGGTGGAAGTTCTTTGATCAATTACATGATACATGTCCGAGGTAATCGATTAGACTATGACAAATGGGCAGCCATGGGTAACCCGGGATGGTCATACGATGATTTGCTTCCATATTTTATGAAGTTAGAAGAAACCCGTACACGACACCAAGATTCACAATATCGAGGTCACGAAGGATACGTTAAAGTAGAAGATGTTCCAATTCGAACCCGATCCGCAGAAACATTCATAGAGGCTCTTCAGCAAATGGGATACAGTTACGTAGATTACAATGGTTACCAGCAAATAGGTGTATCATATGTTCAAGCAACTCTGCAAGACAGTAGAAGATGCAGTGCTGAAAAGGCGTATCTTAGAAAGGCACAAGAAAGGGGGAATTTGAAGATCATTAAAAAAGCTCTTGTAACAAAAGTCATTATAAATCCAATTACATTAGAAGCTGAAGGAGTTGAATATGAACGAGACGGAATGTATTATACTGCTAAGGCCAGAAAGGAAGTAATCCTTTCTGCTGGAGCATTTCACTCACCACAACTGCTCATGCTCTCCGGAATCGGTCCAAGGTACCATCTGAGCGAACTCGACATCCCCGTCCTTAAAGATCTTCCTGTGGGTCAAAAAATGTACGACCATCTGTCCTTCCCAGAATTGGTAATCACTTTGAACGAGTCAATAGTATTTAAGGCCAGCTCTTTCGGCATCAACGAGTTCAAAAAGTACTTCTCAAATCAGCCAAGTCTAATAAGCACTCTTGGAGGTGTAGAAGCTTTGGCGTATCTAAATCTAAACCTTACCAACCGTAATCCTACTTATCCAGACGTAGAACTAATTTTTATGGGAGGCGGATTACACTCAGACTTCGGATTAATTACAAGAAAAACGTTTAGAATTACAGACAGAATGTATAACAGAATTTGGAAGCCCATTGAGAACGAAAATGCCTGCCAGATATTACCCATGTTGGTGCATCCTAAATCTTATGGTTATATTAAGCTGAAATCCAAGGATCCTCATGTTCAGCCCAAACTTTATGGAAATTATTTAACAGATGCGTACAATGAAGATGTGAGAACATTTATAGCGTCGATCAGGGCCATACAAGAAATTATCCAAACTCCGGCATTTCAACGATATAACGCCCAATTGTTGGATACGCCTGTTCCAGGATGTGAACTGTTTCGTTTTGATTCTGATCCCTATTGGGAATGTGCACTGCGTCACTTAGCAGTAACACTACATCATCAAGTAGCAACATGTAAAATGGGTCCAAAATATGATCCCGAAGCGATAGTGGACAGTTCGCTTAGAGTTTATGGGATTAAGAGACTTAGAGTTGCCGATGCAAGTGTCATCCCCCTACCCGTAACGGCTCACACCAACGTACCGGCTTATATGATTGGAGAAAAAGCGTCAGATTTAATAAAACAAGATTATATGTATCGTCCATACCAAAATTATTGATAAAGGGAGAAATTAATGTCGAGGAAAATACAAATACATTTCTGCGCTATGATAGGAGATTTTGTTTAGATGTAGGCTACTTAATGGTTCTAGTGTGTGTTAGCATTAAGGAAAAGTCAATAGTACAAATAAAGTGAAATTAGATTTAGTGTACTGATTCAATAATACATAAACTTAACATTATAATTATGTATGCAGAATTTTTAAATAAATAAAAATAAAATATAATTTTCACGTAAATAGGCATGGTTATGTATAGAAATATAAATTAAATTTAAAAAAAGTAAATCTAACTAGCGTTAAACGCTCATGGGATTACTGCAAAAGTCATTGTCATGTGACAACTATTTTTATCATACATCTTGAAATTTCACAAGGTCAGATTAATTCATATAAAGCTGATCTATATGAAACAGACTTTCTGAAACGCTGCAGTTGTTGAGAAGGTTGTTATCATGGTTCCTGTTTCGGTTTGTATCAACTTACAAGGGTCTTAAACATGAAATTATTAAGATTGGAAAAACTTTGGCGGTTGTTGTAGAACAAACAGAATAGCTCAAAACCCCAACGCCGAAACACGACACTGTAGTTGTCCGAAGCACTTTTCGGTAACAAGGTTACCTTCTTCAGGGTCTGCAGTGAACTGTCCCTTCTTCAGTTCACTTCAGTCCCTTCTTCAGTTCACTTCAGTCCCTTCTTCAGTTCACTTCAGTCCCTGAAGAAGGTAACCTTGTTACCGAAAAGTGCTTCGGACAACTACAGTGTCGTGTTTTGGCGTTGGGATTTTGAGCTATTTTGTTTGTTCCTTATTTTAGGACTTACTGCAAATAATTACAAGTTGAATGTAGAAGCCTGTTGGGAATTACTTCGCAATCGTAGTTGGTCTGATTTTCGTTTAGTGATAAGCCAAAGTGATGCGTTATATTGTAGAGACCCATCGACACCATATAATCATTAACAAGTTCAAAAACTTCATTCGGTAATATTTCTGTGGAAGTCCCAGTCGAATTTTTGATTTCGGGGTAAGGTGTGGCAATTTCTAACAAATTCGTCCACGAATCCAACGACGGTGCATCTGCATTGAATTATCATTTATTATGGTGTTATGATTAACAATTGCGATTAGATTTACCTAATAGATTTGCGGGGATTAAGCCTTGGGAGAAATTGAACGTACTTGGGTATTCATTTTCTAGTTTTCTTCCAACATACCGATGTAATTCGAAATATAAAGGACTAATGTCTCTCCATATCTTTTCTACTGTATCCATAAAATTACTGGGAGATATATTTAGAGTTTTTAGTTCATGAGAATTTACAATAATATTAAAATTTTCTGCAATGTCTCTACTGTATATCTACAAAATAGGTTTTGGAGATATAC